TTTTTTTTCTCTATGGTTTGCTGCAAGGCTAAAGAGATGTTTTAACCCAACTGAGATACAGTGACTGGAATCTAAGATGAGTTGATTAAAGGCTGATTTCAGGAGCAATTAACATTTGATTTAGTCATATTGCCAGGGAACATGTACTCTGGAGATCACAAACAGCCCAGATCTAAGCTCTCATTTAAAGATTAAAAAGCTCTTTCTAATGCAGGAATTAAGCATGAAGGGCAAGCCCAAAGCTCACCAAAGAAAGAAACACTGTCTCCTCCAGCAAAGATGGTTGGGCCTCCCTCTAGCAACAGGAGCAGCATCCCCTCTGCTGCCATTGCCATACATTGCCAAGGGCTTCCAGTTCTTCCACACCCGTCCCGCACAAGGCAGGCACCGGGAACGCTGCAGCCATGAGCTCCTGGGGCCACGTCACACTCCTTTCTGGACCAGGCAGCCTTCTGAAGGCTGTAGGGAGCATGTGAAGGACATAGGAAAGGCCAGACTAGACTGGGACTTGAGGGAGGTCAACTGAGTGGGGTGAAGAGGGACAGCTCACACAGGCTCCCAAAGAGGGAGAGAGGCTGGATCTTTTCCAGGGGACTCCTCTCCCTTTGGGCCTTCCCTGCAGGGCTCTCTTTATCCTGAAGCCTCCCTGGAGGCTGGTGCACACAGCAAACTTCCTCAGCTGTACAGGGTGTTGGGAAGACCGCGTTTTGGAGCCCCTTTCCAAAGGGCTGCAATGGGAACTGCAAGGAGGAGGATGCTTGTGATCACTACAGCAGTTTTCCTATCTTTTTAAACTATCCCAAACATAGAACTTCCATTAGGGCCAGAGCTTTTAAGGCTGCAGGCAACATCAATTCTTCCAGTTCCCATTCTCTTCAAGACACTCCTGAACAGAAACAGGAATGAGGTAAGCCTTGACATTTCTGGGACTTCTGAGGCAAAAAGAAGGAAAGGAAGGAAAGGGCTTGTCAAAACAAACAAAAAGCCTTCCCCACCTCCACAAATTAAACATAGAGAGGAGAACTGCAGTCTGAAGGTGTTGAATAGGTTTTTTTAAACTTTGCTTATGATTATTGTAGTGAAAGATGAGTGTGGAGATCCTCACTAATGAGATATGAGTCACAAACAATACTATTTTTAAGCTTAGTAATTTTGCAGTTATCGTCTGCCATGAAAGAAAAACAAACAACAATATATATATACCTAAACCTTACACTACTGCACTCCCAATTCCCTCCTTTTCCCACTCCCCATGTGAGTTCCACATTTGAGTTCTACAACTCAAAACGAACCAAAGGAATTTCCCCCTACATTCATCACTTGTCCATCAGGGCTGGCAATTTTCAGCCTGAAGAATTACACTTCCAGCTGTGTAGGCACGCGAGCTACTCAGTTACTGCCTGGAGACCGTGGAATGCTTCTGCTCAAGCCATTTCTGCAGGAGAAGATTCCTGAGCTCGTGGCTAAGAGCTGTGCTGCCCCTGGAAAAGCTTCTTCTTCACAGCACAAATCTTCACTACAAGAATAACCTCTAAAATGTTTCCAAAACCTTAAAATTTTGCCAGATCCACTGCAGAGTTACAAGGTTGGCACCTCACTGACATAGGTAGGCATAAGGCACCAAAAATATAGTTGTTGTGTTTTTCTCTTAAATGCTGGAAGGTATCCAGTGAACGTACAGACTTCCGTCAAGAGAGGCATTTAATCTTGGGTCACATGCCTCAAAAACTGAAGAATCTGCATATTTCAAGATAAACTGCCCTTGCGACTTGCCATCTGAGCTGTTAAAAGAGATGAAACTGGAATTTTCTTCCTGGTTTTAACTGCTTTAGCAATTTTTCCTCTATTAGACTTGTAAAGGTCTAATCCTGCAGCAATCCCTTATCCTTGTCTTGCTGTGTACAAGCAATGACAAAATGTGAGCATATTTTGGGCATTGTTACATAGCAGCACTTGCACGAAGTGCTGCAACAGATGAGATGAAGAGGATGAGACAGTGGCCACAAACTTTCCCAGAAGGTGCAAGAAGTCCCCACGTACCCATTTGTTTGTACAGAGGCAGATTTTTCTAAGCAATTTTCATTCCACTGAGAAGCTTAAGCCCTTGTCCCAACCCGCAAATCTACACACCTGGATCTACACACCTCATGCCTGCTCTTCACTCACTGCGAGCACCAGCACCTTGTGAAACTGCCTGGACAACCACAAGGTCTCAACACCCTCTTGTACCTTCTTCAACCTTCTTTCCACGCAAGGGCCCTTCCCTTGAGTATGCACACCTGGGAGGCACAGGCCGTTAGCCCCAGGATAGCCTTTTCTGTCTCATTTTCAAACAAACATTTAATAGAAACTGAAGCCTATTCTATTGAATCGAGTGACAAGAGTGCTGTACAAAAAAGAAAAGTCACAGACCCTCTGCTGCTAAAATCCCAATTACAATTAGCTGTATTTGCAGACCCTGAAAGCTCCTTCCAGAAGAGTGAAGGGGCAATGAAGTCACCCAGCTAAGTGTGAGCACGGGCTCTAAGCTGTCATACTCTGGACCTCTGCCTTGACCCGCAGTTGACCACAGGAAGGATGGTGAACCACAGGGTTGACCAAAGAGAGCAGAGAGTTTCTAAAAGGTGAGGGCCCAAGATCTAAGTCTCCTTGTTACCTGGCTGCTTCACGGTGAGGGTGATGATGCCAGAGAGGTCCTCCGCGCGCTTGTACCAGTGATCGCTGGGGTCCAGCAGCCACTCCTCCACGCGGCAGTCGTAGGCCCCGCTGTCCCGCACAGTAGCGTTCTGGATGGTGAGGAGGTAGAGGCCTGGGGACGGGCTCTCCAGGTGCAGCCGGGTCCTTAGGTCACTCAGCGCTGCCACCTCCCCGTAGCGCAGGATGCTCTGCCGGCTCAGCTGGGCCACGGCCTCCTTCTCCGGGTGTCCCGGCCGCCAGACGTACCACTCCACGGAGAGCTGGGATGAGGCGCTGGTCCGGCTGCTGACCAGGCATTCCAGGGTCACCCACTGGTTCTCCAGGATGGTCACATTCTTGTGGGTTTGATTCACCTGCAGACGGTTATCTAAGGAAAGAGGCAAATAGAAATAGGTGACTGGAGGCTCCAAGTGTCCTTTGTCTCTCCACAAGCCCAAGATGGGCTTATAGTTTACAGGCTCTCCTGAAAATCTCAGACTTGTAATAAGCAAAACCAGCAAAGCCTCCTTCTGAACAGGAAACCAGGACGGTTACAATCTCCTAGTAAGACCTGGGAGGTCCTAAAAACACAGACAAGAGAAACAAGGTCGCACCTCAGTCTTTTCTCCTTCTTTCTGGGAGCTGGGAACTAGCCCAATTCTACTCAAACCAGCAAGCACTCCTCCACTAGGTAAAGGCAGAAAGAAACAACACTGAGAATGGACAACTAATTACACGGAATCACCACTACAAAAGGGAAGTGGTACTAGAGTTAAGGGCAAAGTCACATGCAATGCATCATTGCACTGAAAATGTCCCTGGTTTTTGCTCCACAATGTCACTGATACACTGGGGCTGGTTGCAATCAGCTTTTTTATGTGAAATGATGTGTCATACACTCCTAACTCCTTCATGATTTCTTTGGAAAGGCATAGTTTGGACTTCCCTGGTATGGCCCCTACAGTAAGAAATGGGCACCAATTTTATCAGAGGGAGGTGGGTGATGCAGTGGAAGGGGATAAATCACATCTTTCCCTTCTCTGGCTGTCCCAGACTCATCCTAGGAATTTGCATATGGAAGTGAAGAGCTGGGACTGGCAAGGAGCAACACGCTCCAGCCTGCTGCACTTGCTGTGTGACCTGGCATAGCTACACGCAGCGTACTGGGTAGTGATCGCGTTCAATATCCTTGCTGCACACCAGGTATATGCAGTTTATGGCTAACCAGCAAGGCCCAGACAGAGAGTGTTTCAGCCCTGCTATCCAGGTAAACCCTTCTACCTGATGGATTTTTATTCTCCAGAAACAGGGAACCAAGAGCAAGCTGGAACAAGACAGGTTTCCTTGGGAGGTAGTGATGCTTGAGCCAATAAGCCCACATTGGGTCCAGGCAGCTCTCAAATATGCTGTCTGTCTCCCTGTCTCTTGACATGAAGTAAGGCTCTATCCTCAGCTTATTAAGGCCATCTTTAGCTCTTTCATCAACCCATCTTTACTGATGATGTACTCTGCCATGGAAACCGCCACCAGAACACATTTCTTCTTTCCTGGCAGCCAGCTCCCCACTTCACTAAATTCATTGTGCACATCTCATATGCACACTGTTCACTGTGCCTGTGAGGCTACAGAGAGAGAGTAAAATTACACTGTGTTCAAAAAAATAAAAGCACTTTCCTGGACAGGCACATACCAGTTCTCTTTCATTAGGTTGCCACTCAACACTTGTGCTATGTGATGCTCTTGAGGATTAAAAAAAACCCACGGTGTCTAGATACACTAGTCCCCCAGGTTGTGGGGAACCAACAAGTGTTATGTGGGAACACACAAACCCACGACACCCCAGCCAAAATGGAGAAGGGTTACACTGAAGGGCGAAAACAGCCCAGAATCAAGCAGTGAGGGAGCACATGGGCATGAGGATGAGGATGTGACATGGTCTCTTCTTTGGAGATGAGGCTGTAGTGGGAGGAAGACTAAAGGATCCTTGTTGCTCCAGAAAAGCTCAGAGAGCTCCATGAGGCACGTATGAGACAACTGACACTGAGAGGGCCGGGGTTCACCCCTGGAGCACCCCAGCAGCGAGGCGCACACTACCTGGCTGCTTGACAGTGACCTCCGTGCGCCCGGACACCTCCTCTGCCAGCTTGTACCAGGCGTGGTTGGGGCTGAGCAGCCACTCCTCCACGTGGCAGTAGTAGCTGCCGCTGTCGCGCACCTCCGCCCGCTGCACCGTCAGGCTGAAGAGCCCCCCGGACGCGGAGCGCTCAAACTGCAGCCGGCCCCGCAGCCCCTCTTCTTCCGCGTACGTGCCGTACTCGAAGGCGGAGCTGTGCGTGGTCTTCAGGATGAGCTTGCCGTCGGCATCGGAGGGCTTGTGCACGTACCACAGCACGGCGAAGTGCGAATCGGGGCTTGTCTGAGACTTCACCGAGCAGTTGAGCGGGATGGGCCTGTTCTCCACCAGAGTGATGCTCCTCTTGGACTTGCTCACTTGCAGCTTGGTTACTGGCGGGGCGGCAGAGAAACATGAGAAGAGGTGAGTCATGAGCAGAGAAATAAACTGTTTCAGAGAGGAACACAAGGAGTCCTCCCCCTGCAGTCATGGGTGCCCTAGTCTGGATCCCACTCCCACCAGACCTTCAGGACATGGATATTCAGACGTTCTCCTACCATATCTTCTCTCTTTTTTCTTTTTTTCCATCTCCCTTCTACTCCTGGATCTTCCCACCCGCTCCCTCAGCAAGAGACCTGTTTTTTCTTCTTTAATATAGTCCCCTTCTTAACTCATCATAGTTTAAGGTATCAATATAGCAAGAAGGTTATGCCCAAACTCAGTTTTCCAGTCTCTTCAGACGCAACAACCCTCTAGGGACTATGTTTTTTTCTTTCCACGGTGAAACCACACCAGCTTAGGCCAATGAGCTTTTGACCCAAACCACAGAAACCCATTTCCAGGAAGAATGACTTAAATCTTTTGTCATAACCCAGCCATCTCAGTGACTTGTAACCTCCAGACATGCAATTGTGAGGACAGCAAATAGGAGCAAAACTGAAGAAAATAATCACTCTGGAAATGAGCAGCAGGGAACCTTCTCTGCTCTGCATTTTGCACCTAGGACCAGCGATCAGGAGCTCTATCTCTGTGTCTGCCACAGACTCCCTGCACGACCTTGGACAAGTCACAGGCAGGTCATCTCTCAGTTTCTCAGTGTTCATGTGGATCTCACACTCTTAGCTTCGGGGTCAGACAGTGTAAAGGAAACAGTAGGTTGTCATTAATCTTTGTCCATGCAGGAAGACAGTCAACTAGTTTTATATTTCTCGCTCCCTGCAGGAACAGGAAATGAAGCCTTTCCCAGGCTGTGTTCAGGCTGTTTCTATTGCAGTGAACCTTAATCCAAGGCATTCACATTTGCACATGGAGGACACAAAGCGCCCTCCTGTGACATTTATATTTGGTATGTCCTGGAGTCTTGTGAGCTAAAGAAGATGTGGGCAGAGCTGTTTCTGACTAGACACATCTATTTATGTGAGTGGCATCTTCCTTCCTTCAAGCCTCTTTCCACAACAGGGACCAGCACTCATCGTGAACACAAGAATGCAGGAAACTGCATTCCAATAGCTATGAGGGATAAGGCTGATGTTTGAGCATTAAGGACATTACTGAATCTGAGTATATGCACAAAAACAGGGCAGACCATGCGCACTCAGGATTTCGAGGAAACAGGGACAATATGTGACAGTACCAGGCAGGCAGCAGCTCCCCCGTGATGTCCTGCATGTCAGGACTAAGCAGCTCCTGGCACAGCTGCAATGGAAAGCACTGCTATTCAGGCATCAGCTACAAAGGGCCATCCTGGCAAACAGTGGATTTTCAATGGCCAAGAGACAGGCCGTGTGCCACAGTTCTGCTCAGTGCATCCCTCCTCTTTCCAAATTCACCTGCCCCTGCTGATGGTCAGGCATTAACACCTAGCATTGCTGTTCCCCTCTAAAAGAGGGCCCATCTTGCTGCCCGGGGAAGGGGTTTTGTTGGCAATTTATACACGTCCCAGTAAAAACTAGTAAGCTCTCCTGTCAGGAGCAGCTCGACAGAACCGTGGGACTAAAGGCACCCCAGGTTGCAGCCCACTGGGGAGCTGTGCAGATTGGCGCCCCTCGAGCCCAGCCCGTGGCTCCTGTGCTCACAAGGAAGCAATGTTTCCCCTTCTCTCTCAGCGAGGCAAAGGCTCCTTGCTTTGCATTATGTTTTATTTCCAGCTTCCTCTGGACCCTAAGGCCTCAGCTGCCTGTCGGCACAAGTGATGAGCAGAGGGGCTGAGGGAGAGAATGGGCACACGCAAACAACATCACGTGAAGGGGAGAAGCTCCCCTGACAGTGACACTTGCTGCTCTAATACAGCATCTGAGATAGATAGGCATCCTGGTGACACATTAAAAGTTCCCCGGGAGCCTGGCTTGCCTGTGGCTTTAATCAGAATGCTAATAGAGACGAGATGGTGGCGTTACGGGTACGGCACGCAGACAACGGGTATGGAGGCAAGGCGGCGAAACAGCCGCTTGTGCTTCCTCTCTGGGGACGTCAACTTAACGGGGAGATTTAGCAACACGCCCGTGTACGTGCGCTGCACCCCCGCCCCACGACGCGCTCCTTCCCCTTTGTGTCACTCGGGGATATCGACCTCCGCTGCCGCCCTCGCGCTCGCCCCACCGTTGTGGGTCACGGTCGCTTAAGGAAGGTTACTCCAAGTAAGCATGAATCAATCTTCTGAGCCCCGGGAGAGGCACCAATAAAGGGGAAGGTGATTCCCAGCAGTTCCTTTTCTCCCCCAGCCCCCTTTCCAAACAGTTTATTTTTAATTGGCACTGGATTATTTTCTGCAACCGTTACTACGGAAACCTCTGTTACTATAGCAACTGTGTATGTTAAGTCAGCAGCCTATATCTATTAAAATGCAGTATATACACACGCTGCGCGTGTGGCAGGGTTGCTCACTATCCACACACACACACACAGGCTGGGGGTATGCAGGGACTGGAGCTGCCGAAACATTCAAGAGCCCTCCCCGCGTTCTTCCCACACCACTGTGTCTCTGGGAGATGGAAATGAGGGGGACGGAGATATTTTTAGGCATTATGTTCTGGGCAACAGGCCTGCATCTCATACGTGATGGGTTGATTTCACTGAAGCAGCGAGGGTACCTTCCCAGGCTGTCAGCACAGCAGTTATCAGTACGTACAAACACGACACCGTGCATGTTCCAGGCACTCGCACAACCTACGTGCAGTTCTCCTGCTTCCATTTAACACTTAGAAAAATGCCTTTTGGTGGGGGACAGGTAAGGCTGATGGGGGAGAAATCTTTCTTGCTCTGGCACAAATGAGATCTTCAGTTCCATACAGGTATCCTCCAAAATCTCTCTTGGCAGCTACTGCAGACAGCATTCCGGAATTTGTACTACCATAGCATCCAAGCACCAGAGACACCTGGGGAGGTGATCACTTCTGCTACTGCGACCGGGCACAGCAGCAGGCCTTGACAGGGAATGACAGGTCTTCCCTTGGCTTGGCTGCATGAACTTGCTCAGATTTGTAACAAGCGTGCCAAGTTTTGTCTAGATTAGCAGTACTAGTTACACATAATGACAATCCTGCCAACGGACTTCTCATCTAACATGACTTACTTTCCTCACGGAGGCACTCGGTGGGAGGCACAAGTGCAGGATTTCTTCTCTCTGTTGGATTTGTGTGAGGCATTCTCAGTCTTTTCCAACCTGTGAGCACCAAGCGTTTTCCCGTGCAGGTGCTCAGTGTTGCACAGTAACCGCACCTACAACTGCCCGCTTGGTTTTTCTTAGGCGCCTTTAGCAGATCCTTTTGGAACAGGGCAGAGCTTTTGTAGATCATAAGCTAAAAACGCTGGCTGGGAAACACGAGAGGCACACAGGTCACCAGGAGCCGCCTCAGCTGCGGGCTGGAAGGCTGATGGGCTTTCTAACGCAGAAGAGAGATCCCCTGCCCACAGTCTGGTTAAGAGACAGGAAGCTTTGTGGGGATCCTTTGCACTTCTGCTATCCCACAGGAGTGCAGGAGGTGGAACTGTCAGCCACTATTCACAGATATGCAAAATAACCTGAAAGGCTCATGTGGCCCTTGGAATCACAGAAGGGTTAAGTGTGGAAGAGACCTCTAGAGATCATCTAGTCCAACCCCCCTGCTCCAGCAGGAACACCTAGAGCACGTGGCACAGGGTGGCATCCAGGCGGGTTTTCAAGATCTCCAGAGAAGGAGACTCCACAACCTCTCTGGGCAGCCTGTTCCAGGGCTCTGTCACCCTCACAGGAAAGAAGTTCTTCCTCACATGGAGATTAAACTTCCTGTGTTTCAGCTTGTACCCATTACCTCTTGTCCTGTCACTGGCCACCACCAAGAAGAGTTTGGCCGCATCCTCCCTACATTCACCCCTCAGGTACTTGTACATGGTGATCAGATCCCTTCTCAATCTTTTCTTCTCCAGTCTAAACAGGCCCAGCTCGCTTAGTCTTTCCTCATACGATAGATGCTCCAGTCCCTTAATCATCTTCATCTCTCTATACTGGACCCTCTCTAGAAGCTCCGTATTCCTCTTATACTGGGGAGCCCAGAACTGCACCCAGTTCTCCAGGGGTGGCCTCACAATGTGATAAAAAGCAACAACAACAAATTCTGAAGTTAGTGGGCCAGAGTGGTGGAAATGATACAACACAGCACCAGGGAGACCGTTTCTTTTCATTGCTGGTGGCACGACTGCTTCAGTATAAAGCTGAGTCTCCCATGCAGGTTGCGAGGCCTGTTTTAGGGATGCCTGCCCAACACGGAAATTATTGTAGTTGCTGGCACATGAATAGGACTGCATGAAGACTGACACTCCAGGCACTAAGGTCAAACCTCACTGTCGTGACATGAGAGGAAACTCCCCTTCCTGGCTTGGAGACCTGCGCAGTCTTGCTGAAGCGCCCCAGGGGCCGGGGCTGTGGGGCGCCCGGGCAGGGCTGCTGCCGCACACTGCGACGTAGCCACGCAAGCACATACAGTTACAGGGCACTTTCTGCTCTGCTCTTGAGGGACTGATACTGTCTTACGAGGCTCCTGAACGTCTGCTTGGCGAGGGAAGCAGGCGCGCGTGCCTAGGTGAGGTTTGTGCGCACACCGTCTGCAGGCCGCAGCTCCCGGAGGGCGCCGCTGCAGAGCGTGTCACACCCTGACGTGCTGGAATGGGCTCCAGGTACACTGCTATGGCTCTCAGTTTACACGGGCAACAAGTGATGGTTACAGCCCTCATATTTTTTTAAACCAGCCTAGTTTCCTAGCCCCAGCCATGCAATATGTACGAAGGGTGTGGGCACGCATTGAATTTTGTGGTTGTGTTTGGGCAGGGATTGGGAGAGGGAACACCAGCTCTCCAAGAGCGTGGAGAATAACCCTCCTGCACCAACACGGACATCCCACCAAATCTACTGAAGGAG